ATGATATGAATATATGATATTAAATATAGAAAAACAAAAGAATAATAAGAATAAATGATAAATAAATATAGAAATGATAATCAATGATATAATAATAAAATCAAAATATAAAATATAAAATATAAAAATAATATAAATCAAAAGAGAATAAATATAAAATGAAAATAGATATAAATGATAATAATATAAAAATGATAAGGATGAATAAACAAATAAACAAATACATCTAAATAGAAAAGAATAACAATAAGAAAATCTAAATAATATAAACATCAAAATCATAAAATAAGAATAATATAATAATATAGAGATAATAAGAAGATGATATACATATTATAAACAGAGAAATAAATATAAAAATAATAAAAATTAGTTAATTAAGTATTAATAGAATTTTCATCTATTCTTCCTAGCTCAGGGGAGACTAATCCCATCCCTGAGCTTATTAAAAAAGAGTAACCTCTTTGTTTAACCTATCATTTAGGTTTGTCTTGCAAAATGAGGAAACCACTTATTTGCTTTATTTTTCCTATTAAGGTTTTTCAAACTTCTTCTGCTTAATTCTTCTTTTTAAGCCGTTTGTTTGTTTTCTGCCTTAATTTTAAGGAATTTCATTTTTCTTATTTTATGAATGGAAGAAGGAATCATTTTATTACTACTATATTACTTTGACTAATTTTCTTTTTAGTCTTACTTTGACTAATCTTCTTTTAGTCATACCCACACTTCAGTAGATTCTTATATTACATCCATGTAATATTCTACTGTATTCTCTTGCTGCACCCTTTGCAGCATTCCCTAATACATTCCTAATTCAAAAGCACCGTCATAACCAGATAATAACTGGGAGAGTCGAAGTATGAATTTGTACTAGGGTTTGTGTGTGGTGTTTCAGACGTGCCACCTTCGATCTGAAAATCACAGAAGTAAATAATAAAGAAGAAAAAATCCGAAGTATCCAAGCTAATAAAAAGAAGATGGAAAAAGAAAATGAAGAAATGAAGGAAGAAATTGAAAAGTTGAAAAAGAGAAACAAAACGCTAGAACAAAATGCAAACACACTAGAGAAGAAGATTGAAATGATAGAGGAAAACACTAAAGAATTAAAGAAAGAAATAAGAGATAAAGAAAAACAAATCTCTGAATATCAAGAAATTGCAATTAAAAACCAATAAATTGCAGAAATAACAAGAGAAGAATTAGATAACACACAAAAAGAAAATGAAGCACAAAAACAAATAATATCAAAACAACAAGATGATATTGAAAATTTTATCTCACAGAAGGAACTAGAGAAGAAGAAAACGATGACACTTGTGATAAATACACAACCAATATTGAGGAAAGCATCATCAGGAACAATGGAGATGAACGAAACTACTCCTATGAAAAAGACAGTAGTGGAAATCGAAGAGAAAAGCAAAGCATTGATTGTCAAAAACAAGAGATGATAATCAGACAAGAAATACAACAAAACAAACAAATAGAATTCTAATTGAAGTGTTGTATTGTTTTGTAATTAATTGGTTGAATAAGAAATTATATAAGAAATTAAGATGGGAACAAATAGAAAGTATAATAAAAATGATAAACATCAATGTCAATAGTGAAAAAGAATATATTAAATATATTAAAATATCACATAAAATAAAA